TATTATTATTATTATTATATTATATTATTACTATTATTATATTATTATTATTATTATTATTGATGTTGATATCACTGCTCATTTCTGTAACATACACGATCATTACGATATCATTGTTTTTTTCAAATTTGTCATTTTGAAAACGTTTGCGAAAAATTATTTTCATATTGTGAAGTTTTTGTTTTGGATCGATTAACATTGTAACATGTTGCTTTGAGTGTTCGTTATGTAAATGTTCAAATAAAATTTTTCTTGCAACTTCGTTCACTAAAACGAACACACAGACGCATACCCATATCCCTAACTTATCATTTAAGTGGAAGTTTTCGATAGGTTGACCNGCTGATGTGGGACAATCGGCTGAATGTTTGAGTTTGACTGGCTTTTATGCCAACTTCGGATGAGAGGAATCGCGAATTATTTACTATTAGTCAAATCCAGTAATTGAACGGGTAGTCCCGTCTCGATATCAACAATTTATTCATTGAGCGAATGACCACAGCTACGCATACTCATATCCCCAATTCCAATTTATTATTTTCGACTTAAACGTTTCCATAGGTTGACCGTGCTTAATGCCGATATGAATCTATTGAATCACTTTCCTGCCAATCTACAGGTGAGCGATATAGCGAATCAACTAATCAAATCTAGTGAGTTGCAGTCGCTAATGAAGTTTGAGATTCAGATGTTGGACGCAGCAGCACAGTCTGTAGTGAAAATTGGTTAATTCCTCTATGACATACTATTGTCTAAAAAGTACGCTGATGTCAATCAAGTGTTGTTGAACTTCATACAGGTGATTGTTTAAAACAATCGATCTAAACATTAAAGGGAAAGATGATTGAATAGTTTATCGCACTGCAATAGAATAATGACAAATGTCATCATATCAGTCAATCATCAAACAGCAATAATCCAAAAGCAAATAAACATCTACAGATATAGACAGATAAGGAAAGGACGTCGTACGGTTAGTGCCAATGCATATACACACATATAACTTACAACTGTTTAAGGAATACATACTTTTTAAGAGAGACCCATAATGAACCATCAATAGAACCAATAACTTCTTCAATTGGACGAAGATGTAGTGAGGAAACGGGGCGTTTCATTTGTACTAAAAGTATAATGAGATGTGCAGAATGTAGGGAGTTTGCAAAATGTTGACAATTTTCAAATAGCGTGAAAATTTACACGAGTTTCCTGAAGTAGTTCTTCGTCTCAGCTTAGAAGTGAGATCAGTTTCGATGTACTTCAGCAATTACATATGAATTAATTCAATGGATAGGAATGAGTCAAATACTTTGAGTTGAACAAATAAATACAATACATCAAAATGATCAATAAATTAAGTCAAATACGCTAATAAATATATCATTAATTAAAGATAGATCGAAATAGATGAACAAAATGATTAATTAAACAATAGTGTTAACCAATTATGCAAATAAAAATGGAGAAGACCATTAGGCTTAGGCTTTAGTGAATTGGCTTGAATGCAGCAAATTCGGAACAGCCTGAAAATTGGCCGATAATGATGAGAGCGGTGAGCATTAGGAGTGATCCGAACGGCTCTCATCGGACAGCTGGTTGAGACTTAAGAAATCAGAGACTTTCGCTGCGCATGGTATTCGTCTGCATTTCGAACAGAGGGCACTGCCGCATTCCGCACAAAGCACCAGAGAACGAGCCTTCTGATGACGACGTCTGTTGCGATTTTTCGATTCCTTAATGCGTACCGAATTCAGTGATCTGCGTTTAACACATTCGTCACATTCACTTGGACTCTCCGGATTGATCTCTGACATGCCATGTGCTCCGTAATGATCGAAGAAGTGTGAGCGATGCCTGAAATCTCGCGAAACTGATCAACTTCGCATTCTTTATAACATCTATCAAGCCAGTTTGGAGTACAGCGCCGAGATTGGAGTGTTTACTCGCACAGTTGTGAAAGTAAACTGGGGCGATTGAATGACCACCGTGGTTTTCACTAGTAATACTTGAGTGTATGAGTTTGCGTTGAAAGGAAAATGAAGGTGCTCACTGAATAAGCGCACGAAGAAAGAGCGATGCAGTTTCCGAACGAAACATCTCATTATCGCTATCGTAGCCTCGAAGTGATCTACACAAAAGAACACATAAGAAACGAGTCTGCAGCTCGATCTTCATCCCGCAGCGATAAGCCGCATCGAAGTAACCGAACAGCAGAGCAGACCACGTCGACTGCGGCATCACCTCCTCGTCAAGAATCTCAAATAGGGCTGTTAGTCGTCTTCTGGCGTGGCATATCACATCCTTTCTTGGCACTTTTAGGCGCGTCGCAGAGGGTTCGTTATGTCGATAGTTCTTCCGAAAGCATCATCAGTAGTTCTCGTGATGGAGATATATTGTATTTGAGATAACTGACTATCGTTGTTCTTCGAAAAGGGTAACATAATTCTAAAGGATTAAAACTTTTTGAAATGGGTTCGTTTTATACTTCCCAGTCTCTATCATGTCTCTCCAATTGTTAGTGATCTATTGGTGAGGCAATGATGAATAGGAATTGTAATAAAAATATACAAAAAGTGCACTCACTCGTTCACAGACACGAAGGAGGTTAGGTATTCTGAGTTTATGTGCCGCATGACTTAAGAAAGAAACGTCATAAACTGAAATTATTACTTCATTAATTATAAACTGAAATTATTACTTGATTACTACATATTTCATTTTAGATGTATAACTCAACTGCAAAAGTAAATGAACTGGAAATATTATGAGGCCAACTGCCTCATTCTCTACACCAAAGCAGCACTATACAAAAAGGTCGACAATTCATTACATTTGCAATTGCCTCGAGGGTATAGAGTGAACGTGATAAATATCATTCAGCTTAATGAAAAAAGCAAGAATTGTCTCTAGGGTAAAAAATCTAGAAATTGTAGAAATGTAAGAGCTAATGGAATATTGTAAGATACAAATGAAGACGTACTGTTTGGTGCTATCGGGTATGTATTGTAGAAAGTTGGGCATACAGACTGAACAATTGTAAGCATTTCATAAACCTTGTACTCTCTATAATCCACTTCCTCACGGTTCGATTTCAGCTGAAATATTGCTTATCAATACCAGAACTAAGCCTATAAACCAGTTTTTTTCATAAGAGAATTATTGTCTTTTGGTGAGTCATTTGGGCTTGTTAAAGAGGTAATTGAGGGTATAAATGAAATTTTCGGTAGATTTTGAGTTTTTTCATCATTGACAAATGTTTTTTTGCATTGGTTTTCGTTATCAGTTGCTGAGGTTCATATTTTTTCTGCAAGTGATAAATAAAGTTCTGGAAATACTTTAAAAATTTCAGTGCAGGAAATGAATTTCTTTCACTCCACCTAGAATGTTCTGGGAGAGATTTCAAGTTGTTCCTGACGTTTTGCGTTAAAATAATAAATTCTTGCAGTTGGGAACGGGGAGGGGGGGGGGGAATAATGACGACCTGCCAGACCAATGAAAGGGATAATAGAGATTCCCAGCGTGTAAAATACTGCTATAAGCATTCAATCCCAAACACATTTCGGTGTTTTGTCGTTTTGGATTTTTTGTTGCATTATATTTTGGATTTTTGAAATATTTGGTTTTTGGATTTTGAGTTATAACTTTTGGATTATGACTGGATTATAACTTTTGGATTATTTTAATAAATTGATTCTGCTGACGTCCAGTTGATCTACCCATCTTTGTCAAAATGCTTTCGTTCGTTGGCAAAGAGTATCGACAAGACAGTAATCTTTTTGATAACTATTGACAATAAGTAATTTTCGGGTACTTTTAAGGAGTATATCGAAAAGTATTAATCTCAAGTGTAGTTCTTGTCTGAAAAAGTGCTTGAGAGGCATGCTAGTACAGTACCGCTTCCGTCCATTTTTCTCGAAAATCATCAGAATGAATGGCGAATAGTGCTGGATTAACGAATATTGGAACGTCATTTTTAGTGATTAATCGAAACGTTCGTTTCGCATCTGGCTCACGAAAGTCTGTCTGAAATGATGTTTATTAATTTCACATTATTTCTGCTTTACCAGCTAACATCTGACCAAATTAAATATGAGCGATTGTTCGTCATTTACAACAAGTTCAACTCAATTCGGAACTAAAGTTATCGTGTAAATATCGCTGAAATGTCAGATGTTTGCTTGACAAATCGCTCGATAAACTCATTCGACAACCTATAGTGGGGTAAAGGTCAAGTAAGTTTATAACCGTTGCACATAATTTGCGATTTGAACGTCCGACGTATACGACGTATAGTTGAAACGTGCTCAAATCTTAAACCAGGACATTTTATCGCAAAGAGTGGCAGAGTTTGCTGGGGTGACCAGCCAGCAATGAAGTGATGATGTAAACAAATCAAACCTGTACAGAGTTGAAAGGCATCGATTTGTAGGGCATTACTCTGGAGCGAAACGGAGCTAGGAATGACTCGCGCTCTCTGGTGCCCATCCCTTTCGTGGCCAACTTACTTGATGTTCCCGATTTCTAAAAGTTCTGCTACAATTCAGAAGAGCTCTGCAAATTCTTGTCCAGCGAGGAAATTTCTGTAGAAGATGTGGAGATATATGTGAAACTATAAAATTCGGTTGAGCGATTGTAACGAAAACGGTCTCCTAAAAACTCATCAATGATACGGTATTCAGAGGCTTCTCAAGGGATTTATCCT